CTAAATTCAAGATTTATGAAGGGTTCTACACAAATAATACAGTAATGCAAAAGAATAACGTAAGTTTTGATAAACTATGAAATTATTCAGAAATATGTATTTGAATATGTAAGTGATAACTAAATTGATTTTAAAATGAACGGTAGAGCACTATTCGATATAGTTTAGAGGATTAATCTTTTACTATAGATTTTGAGAATTTGCAATATTTTAGGCAGTTCATTTGCTTTAGACTAATTAACGAGTTGGACAATTAAAAAAAATTTTTTTTCTGCTTCAAGACTGATTTTTGGTTAAAATGTTTTTCAAACTAATTTTAGAACTGTTATTTTTTATTAAGTGACAGCTGAAATTGTAAAAATTGTAATTTTTTTTCTTGCTTTTATATTTGGATTTCGCATTGTAAAATTAGAAATTTTTGCTTCATAAAAAGCAGTTATAATTTCGTTTTTTGAAATAATTTTTCAAACAGGTTTTAGTAAGTATACAAAGATAATATGAAGTAACTGCTATTACAACAAGAAAAAACATTCATAATTCAATGAAATGATCAAAAATGCCGTAAAAATCGTCGAAATGAATTACGTGCCATAATATCATGCCAGAAACAGCTTTTTATGCTATCAAAACGATCATAGCAACTGACGTAGCTGAAGTCAAGTTGAGTAACGTTACCTGGACGTTGATCACAAAATACTAAACATCTACCTCCAGCCAGTGTTGTTCCCACGCCTAAGATTTAATTTTTAATACATTTTTAATGCACAAATTATAAGTTCATAAGTGATGAAAGTCATAATTTTGCAATCAAAATCTATCAAATATTTGACATACTATAATGATTTATAAAAAGTAAAGTTTCACTTATTATTGACGTTAGGAAGTTTTGACTGTATTTTTAGAACAAAAAAAAAAGGATAAATTAAATCAACTGATATTACAACAAGAAAAAAAATTTAGTGAAGAGATCAAAAATGTTCAGTATAATTAAAAAATATATTATTCAGTTAAAATTGATGTCTATAAAAAAGTCATACATTATCTCAAAGACAAATTTATTTTTTGCTGCTTTTCGATAATTTAAACAAAATAATGTAGTAGAAATTTTCATTTTGAAAAAATCGTAAACTTTTTTCTACGACAGTGTTCTGAAATGAGTACGGTACTTCACCGGAACCTTTTCTCGAAACAATAAAAAGTAATTGTGATAAATAGCGGAAGTTCGTGAGAAAAGTACCTTTACTGAATCTGACATTTAGCACTGTCACTTCTGATTACTGTTTTCTCACTATGATTCATTCAGTAAGAAGGAAAAATAAACAAACCAAAAAATTAACTTATTCATTATCTTTTACAATGCCAGTTTATTCTTTTTGAAATTTTGATCATTTTATTTTCTGATGCAAAGTTTACAGTTTGACTGAAGAATGAATAAAAGTTTGAATTGTTTTCAATATGAAAATATTATATTAGCGTAACAGATGAAGTCTTTCAAGAAGAAAAAAATTAGATGTGTGAATATAATTTAAACGCAGAGAAAATGAATTTACCGTTTCGTACGCAGCAATCACGATGATCCTTTCCTTGCGCAGCACAATACTGGATTTCTGCTGCTGCTGCGATTGGACAAGGATCTCGTTTGAAATACATATTTATCAGCTAAAGTATGCTTTGATCATTGGAAAGATGACATTTGGCATCAGTGAATTAAGAAATTAAAATTTCAGCTATTTAAAATAATAAATATAAAGTTTTAATAGAATAATAAATAAGTCAAAGATATTTTTATCAAAAGTTTATATATTTGTCTATAGGCTATTAGCTGTGAACAAATTAAGCAAAATAATTTACAGTAAAAAGAACAGAAATGCATTTTCAAAAGAAAGATTCTATTGCTGTGCTTTTCATCTTATGCAAATGAAATTTTGCTCGCAACTATACAGGGACACTTCTAAAATGAGTAAGTTTTTAGGTAAAGATTTTTATTTTAAGAAAAAACTAACTTTTTACTACTTTATTCCTTTATTAACAATTTAATTTAAGTTTTTAACGTTTTTATAAATTCCCTCATACAGTCTGTTTTTTTTTCTCTTGTACATTAATTGATAAACTGAATTTTTGTCGTTCATTTTACGTTCTGTTTACTTTTGATTTCAAAACAATTTTATTTGCAAACTTTTAATGATGATAGAATAAAAATTATGTTTATACACGATAAAAATTCAATTATTTTTAATAAATTTTTTCACTGATAAATAAAAAGTGAAATTGTATTCATTACTTTTTAAATTATTAAAAAATAATACCGCATCTTTGGTGAAAGTATTGAAGGTGCATTTTTGCAAGCAAACATCTGGAAGCTGTCTTTCTTCACAGCACTCCATGAATAACTGATTCGGACTCTGCAAATAAAAGTTTGGAAACGGTAGCTCTGCTCAAAATCTTGGAATTGAACTGATCAAATAATGAAAACATTTTTTAATTTGATGAAAGTACACTTGAAAATTTGATAACTATTAAAAATTTTTAAGATTTAGAAATAAGTAAAAATGGCTTAGCATAAAACTAAAAATGAATCAGCGCAAAAAAGTATAAAAATTAGTTCAAATTTCCATTTTACTTCTATATTCGAATGGATAGCAAATCAGATGTATAACAAACTTTCGGCTCCTCATAGGCTAATTTAGGCTTGAAAAGATTAGCACTCCGAGCTCGAGCTCGAACTTTTGCACAACCATATGGACCACATTGATATCCTGAGCCGCAGACTGGTTGACACATTGGTTGCTGCTGTTGCATTTGCATTTGAGGGTAGCAACTACCACCCATACCTCCTGGACTACAAACACCACTAGCCAAGCACTATAATTACTGCTGGTAATTACAGCTTTATTTTTGTCAAGTTCAGCGAATTTATTTCAAAATAGTTCAAAATTTAAAATGTTTTTTAATTCATTTAATTTTTCAACACAAAAAGAATTATTTTTCAAGACAAAAATTTATACTTTGAAATTAACAAAAAAAATTATGGCTACTCTATATTATGACTAACTTAAATAAATTTAACACAGGTGAATAGCTATAAATTTGTATGGCTACTCACTTGTCTTAAATTTATTCAAGTTATTTTTATTTACTTTTTTAGTTAAATTAATTAAACAGATGAAAAATGGTTCACTAATATCTTCAAATTAAACGAAATAAATTATATTTACTGTGCAATTTCTGCAGAATATTTATGAATTTCTTAAGAAAAAAGAAAGAAAATTATTTTTATTTAGATATAGTAGTAATTAATGTTACAGATTTTTTTTCATCCAATAAGCATGTAAAAAATATTTTTCGCTACTGAATTCTCGTGAGGAATACTTTTATTGTTTGTATTCCAGAAATAATTGAGAAAATTGAGATTTTATCTAAATTTATTTCTAATTTGGCAGCATGTTCGTGAATTCTCAAGAAAAAAATGAACCAAATATTGAGTATTTAATAGCATTATATTATTATTATTATTGTTATTATTATTATTATTATTGTTATTAATATCATAAATGTTGTTGTTTTCGCATGGGAAAAGATAATAAATGGATAATACCGAATATGCAACAGGAAGAAGTGTAATAATCAAGCATAAAATAGGAACGATTGAAGTTAACAGCATTTTTCGGTTGTAATGGACACCTGAGATGATGACAGTAGAAGTAATGCAACTGATGAAGTAGGCAGAGAAGAGCTTCTGAAACAGGTCACTTGGCAATTTGTACGGTTTATATGAGATGATGATGATCAGCAGCAGCAATAATACTACTAGTAATAGTAGTAGTAGCAGCTTTTTACCGTCTCTTATAACAAATAATATGCCCATTGTCCAGTGAACAGGTTAAAAAGGCGGTCCTCGAGGATTTCGTCAAATTTCAGGTTCGAAATTAAAAAGTATGCCAACTTTGCTTGGCATTAAAATGAATTAACAATAATTTTTCAACTTTCGTTTTTTCTTGTTCCGAAATTCTTTGAAAAGCTACCAGTTTATTGAATAATCTCATAACAAATTGCAATGATGCAAAATTCGAATTTAAAAGCAACTAAAAAAATGTATGAAATTGCAATTCTTTGTCATCAATACCAATTTCATTTCATACTATTGCTCGTTTTATAAATTTGCATAATTACAGTACAAAATTTTTAATGGAATCAAAGATAAATCATGAAAGCCAGAATGTAATGATTATTTCAAAAAAGTGTAATTATTAAGGTCTTAATGGTAAAAAAATGCAAATGAAATATAATCAAAATAGAACAGATTTCAAATATGATAGTTTTCTGAGATGTCAATGAATGCTAATTTTTCTAGTCTCAAAAGCCATTGTAGATTTAAAGGACTAAAGTTTGATCAAATTAAATTTGTTTTTGCTAAAATCTCTACAAAGTTTCAACAGTTTTCTTCAGCTGCTGTAAGTTAACTAATCAAATATGATGCTTATTTGATTCTTTTTATCAAACTGGATAATCTTTTATAAAAGTTACTGAAATTAAAACGTTGTTGCTAGTATTTGTATGGTACATTTATGATTAAAGTTAAATGCAAATTAATGTTTCTGAATGATTTTGTGAATGTAACGTTCAGAGAATACATTTCAAATAACTTTTTAAATGTTTACTTAAAGTTTCCTCCAAATAGTGAATTTATTAAATGTGTAATTGCTTTTTTGGGCATTTAAGTGGTTGAACTATTGTTAATCATCACTGAAATGGATAAAGGCAAAAATTGCATGATTGAAAAATTTGCATGTATTCAAAAGTGATAGCTAAAGCTGGTTTTTATTTATTTGTCAACCTAAATATTTTTTTGTGACATTACATTGCTAGAAATTTTTTTTAATGACAATTCAAAAAGAATTGGGAAAAAAATCAAATTTTTAAATTCTTAGAAAATTAATTAAATTGTATTAAGTAAGTAAGTATTGAGCATATCATTGCCTTTACATTTATCAAAATCCACAAATGTCATACTTTCAAATTCCATACAATTATAAGTTTATTCATTTATATTTGGCATTAATTTTGTAAAATAATTATAAAATTCTACAGATTTTATTAATTTTAATAAAAGGTTAAAATCATTGCTTATACTATTATCTTTAATTCATTCTTTCAACAAAAATGTATTAACTTTTTAAACAATTATCATTTCATTCATAAAGTTAAATTTTGTAAAGGGTAGGAAGTTAATAAAATGCAATGAAATTTAATGGCTGGTAAAACTTTTGTGCACTTTTCGTTGTCATTAAATACAAAAAACAAAAGTTATACAGTATTTTGCGAAAACTTTTCATTATGTTTAAATTCACTAAAATGCATAGAGTAATGAATTGTTTCTTTGTTCATACGCATAAATTTTTCATATAAAAGAATACGATTGTTTGTTTTTTATAAAAATAAATGTTTAGGCAAAAAATAAATAAATAAAAAACATACGTTTTAATAACTAAAAATGTGATTCAATTTTATGCAGCATTAAATTTGTTGTATAAAATGTATTTTTTCATCTAATGCAAATTAAATGCATAAGACTTTTATACACATCTTAATTTGATCATCAAATAACTTCTAATATTATGTGCAAATATTTGTCTATTTATATTGATAAATAAAGTGTTGTTAGAAAGAGTTTACACTAAAAATTGTCAAGTGTGCATGCATTCATAATGGCATATTTATCTTTAACTACACATGCCTTACCTAGATTTATTGTTGTTTTACTTTTAATTCATGCAATTGTATATTTGAAAAATTGTGAATTTTTAGATTTCTTATATTTCAAAAAACTTATTTGAATTTTACTCACGATAGAAATGCCAAACTGGTTGAGGGAATTAGAACATGGCAGAAAAAAGGCCAAGTAAAATTTTAATTGAATAATTTATTGTATCAGTGCATTTATTGCTGAATATTTTATTCTAAAAGTAAAAAAAGTTTTCTATTAGAAATTAAATATACAATTATTTTTTTAATTTGAATTTTACCAAAGTCTTAATCTTTGAGTTTTCATTTATAATGTGTTCACTGTATACCACTTAAAACCGAACATGCAGCCTTTTTTCAAACCATACTGATACCATTTTAAGTAATAGCTTAATTTTTAAACATAAAATTAAAAACAAATACTATATCAAATTTGTAATGCTTTTAGCGAATAAGTTTTGTATAAGCTTGTTCACGTACTAAACTAAGCATTCACAAGAATTGAAAACTGACTAGATAAAATAGAGGCTAAAATTAATGCTTAGCTAAAATGTTAAAAAAGCTATTTTGATTGAAAAAACTGTACTTTGACTACTTCTTGCATAAATTCAAGCTTGAAAAATAAAGAATCCTCCATAAAAACTGAAATTTTAATCATCGTATTACTCTTAGTCTGTGTAAAAGAAATGAATACCAATTTTTTTTAAGTCGGAGAGAAATTTTCAGCTCTATTAAAAAGTAAGTTTTTTTGAGAAAAAAATAAGTAAAACTAACTCTTTTGGTGGCATGAATACTTTTTTCAACTAATTAAATTTTCCCTGTATTTGAAAAATTTGATATGAGTTAGAATATTAAAAAATATATCGAGTTAATTTCACAAAGTGGAAAACAAATTTGCTGATGCCATATTAAAATTAGTCTTGTGCTGCCTTTTCTGAACAATGAGCAACATGAAAAATAATTATTAATACTAGAAACAAGAATATATATTTACACTTTAGATCCTTGATAATTAATTTCAGTCAAGCACAGAATTTTTTCGATATAAACTTGCTGATTTTCATTTACATGGCAAAATAAGCTAAGAATAATATGATAGAATGAATATCTTGCATGAAAGTTTGATCATTAAGCACAGTTTCATTTTTCATAAACGTAAATGCTATTCAGAAGTGATGCACATTATTTTTGTTTTGTACTACAAAAGATCCAAATTAGATAGAATGTTTTTGTTTATCTCACTCACAATATCTTTTTGGGATAAAAATTTCGACAAAGATGTGCTAAATGGATATATTTTTCAAATATTTCAAGTTTTGTGTCCAATTGTTTTTTGAGTTATGCAGGGAAAATTATTTTCTGCTATTAATAATATGCATGAAATTACTGATATTTGAGTTACTGCGATGAATTAATCCCATGGATATTCACAAATGATATTTTCCTGCATTTCCATTTCATGAAAAACCGAAAATTAAACCAACAATTTATTGTTCAGCAAGAGGATTAGCAAGTTCTCAACTTTCTCTTATTACCACTTCTCTACCGCTTGTTCGCAGACATGCAAATACACAGCATACAAAATGCATATATATATGCTTAAATATTTAATAAAATATATATTCACTTTAATATAAGAATATTTTTGTTTATCTCACTCATATATATACAAAATGCATATATATATATATATATATATATATATATATATATATATA